TCCCGCTCCAACACGTTTTGCACGAACCTGCTCTCACCGATCTTCGGCACGCTCCTGCCAGTGCCGCTACTGGTGGCGAACATACGCACCAACGTCTTCTTCAACATGCACATGATGCTGGTGGGGACCCCGCCGGTGCTCAAGAGGGCCCCGAATCGGCCGCTGGTGGTGCTCCTGACGCCCTGCACGATCCTGTGCACATTGTTCTGCATGCTCGTCCCGTTCCTTAATCTGAATTCGTCGCCAGACTGGTGGCCTGCATGATGATGCCCCCCCTGGTCAATGTGATGATGATTCTCTGCATGTTCAAGCTGCTAGCGTCGCTGGTGGCGAACAACATATTCATCCAGCTCGTCAGCGTACACTCGTTCCTGCAGCGCCTCCTGGTGCTCCTCATGGTGGCGACGGCCCTCTACACGTACCTGTTGCTGCCGACGTTGGTGGTGATCTCGCGGTAAGGTCGTTGCGACGATTCGTCTCCATGCGTTGTTGCGTGTCCAAGTGGACGCAGTCGTTGCTAAGCACGCTGTTCCAAGAGTGGTGGCGGGTCATGCGGCGCAAAGTTCTGAAGAACAGCTGCACCTACGATCGATGCTTCGACGCCTGGATAGACTTCACGATGTTCACATTGGCTGAGAGCGATAGCGAGCGCAGCATCGCAAACACTGATCGTCCTGAAGTTCTCGTCACTCGTGCCGCCGCTGGAGCTGCCGACCTCGACCCGCGCTGCTTCGACGCGCGTTCGCTGGAGATGAGACGCCTCCCCAAGGGCGATGATGTGGTCAGCGACGCGTTGAGCGGCGAGCTTGAGCCATATGTGATGCCCGCTCTAGCCAGATCTTCTGCCTCTGCTTCACCTCCCCCGCTGTCCTCCTTTTGGCGTCCCTCGCTCCCCCCGCTTCCGCCCATCCCGCCTTTTCCTCTACTTTTCCCGAACAGCGAAGATACGTCATCCTTTGCGCGCACTCCTCGGACTCTAGCCGCAGCGAGTAGCGTTGAACATTACAGCCAGATGACGTAGACGTAGCGGCAGCAGGCAGGGAGCGGGTTCGACTATCTTGCCCTCTTCTCGCTTTTTGTCCGCTTGCCCTCGTCTCTTCTCTTTCAGTGTACCCAGACTCCTCCTCATCCGTCGCCTCCTCCTCCTCTTCCTCCTCCTTTGTCCATCCTCAGGTGCAGCTGGCTTTCGAGCTCCATGGTGTCATCGCGGACCTCACTTGGGGGCGTTCAGTCCAAATCCTATACGATGCTCGTCTACCTCCTCCCCCTCCCACTTCTCTCCCTCCTCATCCTCTGTTCCTCCTCTTCCTCCTCCTTCTCCCTTTCCTCCTCCTCCTTCTCCTCCTCCTCCTCCTCCTGCGTCTCCTCCTCCTCCTCCTCCTCCTCCTCCTCCTCCTCCTCTTCCTCCTCCTCATCCTTCTCCTTCCCTTCCTCCTCCTATTCCCCCGCAAGCCGAATACGCCAATGTCCCGAATACGCCGTAGGTATCCCTGCGCACGCATTCCCCGCGGTTTTCGCCGCGAGCCCGGAGCGGTAGTGCGCCGCACCACTATTCTGAAAAGATTAGGTTTGGACCGGTTTCGCCGATTTCTGCGACCCGCTGGAATAATAAGCCAGGAGGAGGAGGAGGAGGAGGAGGAGGAGGAGGAGGAGGCGGATGAGGAGGAGGGGGGGAGGAGGGAGGAGGAGGAGGAGGAGGAGGAGGAGAGGAGGAGAAGGAGGAGAGGAGGAGGGGAAGAGGAGGAGGAGGCGGGAGGAGGACGAAGAGGATGGAGGAGGACGAGGGGGAGGAGGAGGAGGAGGAAAAGGAGGCAGGAGGAGGAGGGCCACCCCCCGCCCGACCTGCGGCGCGCTGGGCCCGCGCGCTCGTCGAGGCTCTGTGCGCTCGAGGGGCCCTGAAGGCCCCCCCTTCCGCCGCCCTCCCCCCCCCTTCGGTCCGGTTCGCTCCTCCCCCCCCCTCCTGCGCCTTCCTCCTCCTCCTTCCTCCTCCTCCTCCTCTTCTCCTTCTCCTCTTCCTCATCCTCCTCCTCTGCCTCTTCCTCCCCCTCAGCCTCCCTCCTCCTCTTCCTCCTCTCCTTCCTCTCATTCCTCCTTCTCTCCTCGTCCTCCTGCTCCTCCTCCTCCCCTCTTTCCTCTTTCCTTTCCTCGCCCTCCTCTTCCTCTCCTCCTCCTCCTCCGCCTCCTCCTCCTCCCTTCTCCTCTGTCGTCTTTCCTCATCCTCGCCCGCTTCTCTCCGTCCCTCCCTCCTCCTCATCCTCCTCTCCTCCACCTCCCTCCTGCTCCTCCTCCTCCTCCTCCTCCTCCTCCTCCTCCTCCTCCTCCTCTTCCTCTTCCTCTCAAATACTATCTCGAGTCAAGCCTTCTTTTGTTCAAGCTCGCTCGATCCGCAGATGTCCCAGGGCTGTATCACCAACGCGTGTGCTTACTTAATCGCCTTCGAGAACACGAGTTTCTTGGAGGTGAACGCTTGGAATGTTTGGTTTCGTATGGTGGTCTGGTTGTGTTTGACCTGGTCCGGACATTCTGCTCCCGATCTCCTACACAGTCATGCTCATGTTGGTGACCTGGCGGCGCGTAATTTCGGAGACTCGCTGCACAGTTCGTCCTAAAGCTGCCCACGTTCTTCACCCTACTGTTGTATTCCGTGCCTAAGGCCTTCCCCCTTTTCGGGATATACGGCAAGACGGATTAGCAGTTTCGGTCTCGATGTGGCTGCCCCTTCTTGTTCAAGGAGTTGTGCAATTTCGAGGTTTCGTTCCTTGTCTTGCGCTCTCTCCTACAATGGTCTCATTTCCGTGCCAATGGCATTCCTCCCATTCTTGGGGTTTACGGCACGCGGAGTGTACTGTTTTTCCCATCTACAGGCTTGGGGTCATGCTTCGCGAATCTTTCTCGGTGTTGCATGTTACAGTGCCCTTCTTCGTCGTGGTGGTGTTGGGTGGCGCCATCAGCTACGTCGCAACGTGGGACGGCGTGCCTGCATGCACTCATGGGTCAGGCGTTCCGTATTTACGACGCCTCCTTGTGTGTATCATGTTCGTGCTGGATTCGTGGGCTGCTCGTCACGCTTATCGAAGTTACGCTGCCGCTCGGGATTTGTGCTAGAGATGGGTCTCGTCGTTATCTCCCTATGGTACGGCGTTGGCGATGGTTTGCCCAGCTTCGTCTTTGCAGTCCTCGTGGTCGTCGTGGAGGTCAACGGGTGGCAAAGGTCACAGAGTTCGTGGTGCAGAGCCTGGCACGAGCTGAAGCTTGCGGGAAAAATTCTCCTCCTCCTCCTCTTCCTCCTCCTCCTTCTCTTCCTCTCCCGCTGGGCGGAAAGCCACCCTGAGTTCGGATCTGCCATACTCTGGCTGATCTTCCGATTTGCATTTGCGTCGGAAGTGCACCCCAGACGTTTCGAACAAGTGGGGCGGATATTTCCGCCGCCTCAGAAGAGTCGGGCGGAGGCTTTCGCATAGGTGCGGCGGAAACAGAGGCGGCAGAGTAGGGTGGAAACCTTCACCGAAGGAGCTCGAAAAGCATCACCACTCACCAAACCACCCCAACCCAACCCGAAGGCCTCAATTTGCCCTCCATTTCTTGCCGGGGGGGGTCGTGGAACACTATCAAAAAAAACATGAACTCGTACCCCCCCCCCCCCCCAGCCCCACATTCGGGCGAAGTTCGGGTCTTCGGGTTGGGTCGGGGTGGTCTGGCAGGTAGCCACAGCAGGGCGAGCATGTCCGCCCTGCTCTCGAGAGCGCCTCAAAAGTGCGCTGCATCCTGAGGCAGGGCCAGGATGTAAGCCTTAAGTCGGGCCTGTCCCTCTATAGGAGGAACATGCAAAACTAGTCAACAAATAGTCGGGGGACGATTTTGTAAGTTTTTATCTGATCATTTCGGCGTATTTGTTTGACATGTTTCCCCACATGCTTAGTGGGGTTCTGGTTTACTTCCCTGCCGCGTCGCACCCGCGTCTCACCTCACACCTCCCCTCCTCCTCACAGCACTGCTCAGCACAGCTCAGCTCAGCTCAGCTCAGCACGGCACAACTTGGCACAGCTCAGCTCAGCTCAGCACAGCACAGCACAGCGCAGCACAGCACAGCTCACCGCAGCACAGCACAGCACAGCACACAGCACAGCACAGCATAGCTCAGCTCAGGACAGCACAGCGCAGCTCAGCTCAGCTCAGCACAGCACAGCCCAGCACAGCACAGCACAGCTCACCGCAGCACAGCACAGCACACCACAGCACACAACACAGCACAGCACAGCACAGGCGTGGCACAGGCGTGGCACGCATGGCATTTCCTCGACACCACAGGGGGGGAGCTGTGGGTGGGGACGCTATCCGTTTCGGGCTCGCAAAGCGTGGCAGGCGTGGCACTGCCTCGACACCACAGGGGGGGGAGCTGTGGGTGGGGACGCTATCCGTTTCGGGCTCGCAAAGCGTGGCAGGCGTGGCACTTCCTCGACACCACAGGGGCGGGGGGGAAGTGTGCTGTGGGTGGGGACGCTATCCGTTTCGGGCTCGCAAAGCGTGGCACGCGTGGCACTTCCTCGACACCACAGAAGGGGGAACTGTGGGTGGGGACGCTATCCGTTCGGGCTCGCAAAGCGTGGCAGGCGTGGCACTTCCTCGACACCACAGGGGGGAGCTGGGGTGGGGACGCTATCCGTTTCGGGCTCGCAAAGCGTGGCAGGCGTGGCACTTCCTCGACACCGCAGGGGGGGAGCTGTGGGTGGGGACGCTATCCGTTTCGGGCCCGCAAAGCGTGGCAGGCGCGGAACTTCCTCGACACCACAGGGGGGGAGCTGTGGGTGGGGACGCTATCCGTTTCGGGTTCGGAAAGCGTGGCAGGCGTTGCACTTCCTCGGCACCACAGGGAGGGAGCTGTGGGTGGGGACGCTATCCGTTTCGGGCTGGCGTGGCACTTCCTCGACACCACAGGGGGGGAACTGTGGGTGGGGACGCTCTCCGCTTCGGGCTCGCAAAGCGTGGCAGGCGTGGCACTTCCTCGACACCACAGGAAGGGGAGCTGGGGGTGGTTTCCCTATCCGTTGCGGGCTCGCAAAGCGTGGCACGCGTGGCACTTCCTCGACACCACAGGGGGGGAGCTGTGGGTGGGGACGCTATCCGTTGCGGGCTCGCAAAGCGTGGCAGGCGTGGCACTTCCGCGACACCACAGGGGGGGAACTGGCGGTGGGGGCGCTATCCGTTTCGGGATCGCAGAGCGTGGCAGGCGTGGCACTTCCTCGACACCACAGGGGGGGAACTGTGGGTGGGGGCGCTATCCGTTGCGGGCTCGCAAAGCGTGGCAGGCGTGGCACTTCCTCGACACCACAGGGGGCGCGTTGGGGGTGGTCTCCCTTTCCGTTGCGGGCTCGCACAGCGTGGCAGTCGTGGCACTTCCTCGGCCCCACAAGGGGTGCGCTGGGGGGTGGTCACCCTGTCCGTGACGGGTTCGCAAAGCGTGGCAGGCGTGGCATTTCCTCGGCACCACAGGGATTGCGCTGGGGGTGGTCTCCCTATCAGTGACGGGCTCGCAAAGCGTGGCAGGCGTGGCATCTCCTCGACACCACAGGGGGTGCGCTGGGGATGGTCTCCTTATCCGCTGCGAGCTCGCAAAGCGTGGCAGGCGTGGCACTTCCCCGGCACCACAGGGGATGCGCTGGGGTTGGTCCCCCTATCTTTGACGGGCTCGCAAAGCGTGGCAGGCGTTGCACTTCATCGACACCACAGGGGGTGCGCTGGGGGTGGTATCTTTATCCGTTGCGGGCTCGCAAAGCGTGGCAGGCGTGGCACTTCCTCGACACCACAAGGGGGGCGCTGGGGGTGGCCTCCCTATCCGTTTCGGGCCCGCAAAGCGTGGCAGGCGTGGCACTTCCTCGACACCACAGGGAGTGCGCTGGGGTGGTATCCTTATCCGTTGCGGGCTCGCAAAGCGTGGCAGGCGTGGCACTTCCTCGACGCGACAGGGGGTGCGCCGGGGGTGGTCTCCCTATCCGTTGCGGGCTCGCAAAGCGTGGCAAGCAATATGGCGTTGGATGACACATAGGGAAACATTCGCGACGAGGTCTCAGAACGCAGGCTTGCGCATATATTAAACACATAAGCAAACACATCATATTTAAATTAAGTATGTGGGGTTCTTCGGTAGCGTAATTGAAGGTTTTTGGTCTTCTCGCCTTTTAGGCTTTCCGACGCTCCAAGACGGCCCACGAGGCCCCCAAGATCGCCCCAAGACTGCCCCAGGGGCCCCCCAAGAGGGCCCCGAGACTGCCCAAGCGGGCCCCAAGACGGCCCAAGAAACGCCAAGACGGCCCAGGAGGCTCCCAGGACGGCCATTCAGGGCACCAAGACGGCCCAAAGAGGGGGCCCAGATGGGGACCCCGAGCGGACATGTCGAGCCCTCGGCCCCGAGGGCGCCCCGGGAGGCCCCGAAAAGGCCCCGAAGAGGTCCCCAATGGGCCCCAAGAACCTCCCAAGAGGCCCCCAAGAGGCTCCCCAAGAGGCCCCCCAAGAGGCTCCCGAGAGGCCCCCAGACTCGTCCCAAGATGCCCCCGAGAGCGCCCCGAAGAGACCCGAAGAATCATCCTTTGAGAACTCTGACCAACAACCAAGGCTTGGTGGCGGGATGGGCCGAAGGCCACTAAATCCGCCGCCCCCTGCTTGCAGGGGTGCACGGCGTGCTGGACAAGCTGTCAGGTTTTGGTTTTGGTTCTTTTTCCAAAAGAACTCCCCAGTGGGCTCCGGCCCGTCCCGCCGGGGTCCCGGGAGGAAGCCGAAAACACCTCAATCCGGAAAAAAAATCCTCCCAAAACGGCCGTTTCGCTCGGGACATCCTCACAAAATCGCGAAGATGGCCCAAGATGGCCTCCAAGTCCGCCCGAGATGGTCCAAGACGGCCTCCAAAACGGCCCAAGAGAGTCCAAGACGGCCCAAGACGGCCCAAGAGGCCCCCCAGAGGCCTCCCAGACGGCCCAAGAGGCCTCCAAGAGGTCCTCCAGGAGAGTCCGAAGAGGCCAAAATCATTGATCTTCCCTTGGTTTTTGAAGGATTTTGGCATTTGCGCCTTTTCGGCTCTCCGACGGCTCAAGACGGCCCAAGAAGCCCCCAAGATCGCCCAAGAGGCCCCCAAGAGAGCCCCCTGATGGCCCAAGTGGCCTCCAAGATGGCCCCTAGAGGGCCCCAAGACGGCCCAAGAGGCCTCCAACACGCCCAAGATGGCCTCCAAGACGCCCAAGATGGCCTCCAAGACGGCCCTGGAGCGCCCCAAGAGGGTCCCCCGTTGGCCCAGAAAGGCCCCCAAAACGGCTCCCGACGGCGTCAGACGTGCCAGGAACCCACCAAGATGGCCGAAGTTGGCTCGAAGCTGGCCCAAAAGGGCCCAAGAGGCCCCCAAGAGGCCTCCAGGAAGGCCAAAAGATGCCAAAATCACTGATTTTCCAAAGGTTTTTGATGGATTTGGGCATTTCCCTTTTTTCGGCCTTCCGACGGCCCGAGACGGCCCAAGAGCCCCCAAAGATCGCCGAAAGATCGCCCAAGAGGCCTCCAAGACGGCGACGATGACCATCAAGACGCCCACGTGTTCCCCGAAGGCTTTCCAAACCGAGTCGGGGAACACATGGTCCGATGGCTTGGCAGGTGTGGCCTCAACGTTCGGCCACATAGGCGCTTCCACAAAGGCAGGGGGCGGCGGTGATTCGCCGTAGGCGTCTTCGATCCGCCGCCTCCTGTGCTTGTCACAAGGGTGCCTGGCGTGCTGAACCCTACCGCTTGTGGTGTTGGTTCTTGTTTCAAAAGAACTCCCCCTATGGGGCTTCGGCCCGTCCCGCCGCCCACCCAGAAGCTCCGGGCGGGGTGGCTTTAGAGGTTTTCCCTGCTCCAGATGGCTCCAAGATGGCCTCCAAGACGGCCAAGATGGCCTCCAAGTTCGCCCAAGATGCTCCAAGATGGCATCCAAGCCGGTCCAAGCGAGTCCAAGATGCCTCGAAGTCCACCCAAGAAACCTCCAAGGCGGCCCAAGACGGCCCCAGAGGCCTCCAAGAGGCGTCCACGACGGCCCAAGAGGTCCGAAGAGGTCCTCCAGGAGGGCCCGAAGAGGCAAACATCATTGATTTCCCTGAGGTGTGTCAAAGATTTTGGCAGTTGTTTCTTTTCTGCCATTCCGACGGTCCGAGACGCTCCAATAGCCCTCAAAGATCGCCCAAAGATCGCCCAAGAGGCCTCCAAGATGGCCCCAGAATGGCCCACGAGGCCCCCAAGATGGCCCCAAGAGGGCCCCAAGACAGCCCAAGAGGCCTCCAAGACGCCCTGGATGGCCTCCAAGACAGCCCAGGGGCACCACAATAGGTCCACAAGTCGGTCCAGAGAGGCCCCCAAGACAGCTTCCGACGGCGTCGGACAGGCTAGGATGCCACTTAGACGGCCCAGGATGGCTCTAAGATGGCCCAAGACGGCCCAAGAGGCCCCCAAGAGGTCTCCAAGAGGGCCTGCAGGAAGGCCGAAGAGGCAAAAGTAATTGATTCCCCTTCGGTTTGTGAAGGATGTTGGCATTTGCTTCTTTTCTGCCTTCCGACGGCCCGACACGGCCCAACAGCCACAAAGATCGCCCCAAGATCGCCCAAGAGGCCTCAAAAATGCCCCCAGAACGGCCCAAGAGGACCCAAGACGGCCCCAAGGAGCTCAAGGACAGCCCAAGAGGCCTCCAAGATGCCCAAGATGGCTTCCAAGACAGCCCTGGAGCACCAAAAGGGTCCCAAGTCGTTCCAGGGAGGCCCCCAAGACGGCTTCCGACGGCGTCAGACGGACCTGGAAACCACCAAGACGGCCCCAGGTGGCTCCAAGATGGCCCAAGACGGCCCAAGAGGGCCCCAAAGAGGTCTCCAAGAGGCCCAAGAGGCCTCCAAGAGGGAACCCAGGAAGGCCCGAAGAGGCCAATGTCATTGATTTCCCTTAGGTTTGTGAAGGATGTTGGCATTTGCTTCTTTTCGGTCTTCCGACGGCCCGAAACAGCCCAAGAGCCCCTAAAGATCGCCCCAAGATCGCCTAAGAGGGCTCCAGAACGGCCCATGAGGCCACGGCCCCCAAGGCGGCGCTGGAGCACCCCAGGAGGGCCCCAGGTCGGCCCAGAGAGGCCCCCTATCGAGGGTTGGGCGTCAAGCCTCTCCCGCGCACCCCCGGAAGCCGTGCACCAGAGGCCACTCCTGCGAAGGGCCACGCTCTCACGCGTGGCCGACGAATCAGGAGAGCCCAGAATCGAATCGAGAAGTCGGCTCGGCGATCGGACTGAATCGCATCGGCGGAGATCGGGAGCCAAGTCGGGAGGAGTCGAAGCGGCGCAAATCGGCAGGCTGGTGAGAAGCCTCCGTCGAACCGAACTCCACAGTTGGAGTCCGAAGCCGAACCGCACCGGAATCGGCATCGAGGTCGAGACCGAACCCGATCGAGTCGGAGGGGTCGACGCCAGCCCCGCGAGCTCCCCGAGGGAGCCCACAGCTCCCGGAGCTCCGGCGCAGCCGCCAGCGCCTCCGCCAGCGCCTGCGCGCCGCCGTCCCCGATGCGGTTGCCCTCGAGGTCCAGGTACTGCAGCCGGGCGGCGCCGCGGCTCCCGAGGGCGGCCGCGATGGCCATCGCGCCCTCGTCCCCGATGTCGTTGCCCTCCAGGCCGAGGGCCACGAGACGCCGCAGCCCTCCCGTCGCGTCCAGCATCGCCGCGGCGAGCGCCCCCGCGCCCGCGTCCGTGATGCCGCACTGGTCCAGGCTCAGGTGCCGGAGGCTCTGGAGGCTCCCCGAGGGCACTGCCCTGGCGAGCGCCACGGCACCGCCATCGCCCAGGGCGTTGCCGAGCGCGATGGCCTCGTTCGTCCGTGCCAGCTCGAGCTCCGTCCCACGCTGGGCGGCTCCCCAGAGCCAGTTGGCGCGCACGGTGCCGAGAGCGAGGGTACCGCACTGCCCACTCTCCGGGTTCCCCCCATCCGGCTCCAAGATTTCCAGGTCCTTAGACGAAGAACACACAGCACAAACTTACGCTTTTGGCGCTCCACGCGGATTTCTTGGATCTGCGCTTGGACCCCCCTCCCTGGCGCGCGGAGCGCGCCAGAGGCGCCGCCGGGGGGGCCCCGGCGCGGATCGAAGAAATCCGCGCGGAGCGCCAAAAGTTTATGTTTGTGCCGTTTGTTCTTCTTCGAATCCTGGGAGCCTTTCAGGCCCTCCACCCATTTCCTTCGCATTCTGGTTCGTCGCAGCCGGCGTGGCGAAGCCTTCAGCAGGAGGACGCCAAGGATCCACGTGCACCGCGAGCCTGGCCTGGCCCGGTCCTGGGCTCAAGCTGCGTGGATACGCTGGCCTGGCTGGGGAGGCGTTTTTTCAGTACACAGCGATCCTGGGCGAGGGCTCGGCCTGGCCAAGCGCGGCGCAGATGGAAATGAATTTGGCGTCATCCTGCCGCCTGATATGTCCGGAAGCTCAAACAACTCCACTGGACTGGGGACTCACGGCATCCACGACCGCAGTGGCAGTCTCTGCCCCGCCTTCCCAGGGGCTCAGAACCCTTCGAAGCCCATGAAAAAACCTGCCAGTATGGAGGTCGAACTTCCACTTTAGACGCTTTGCGACCTTCGGGGGTTCGCGCGATGCCGCTCCTGCGACACCTCCTCCTCCTCCTCCTCCTCCTCCTCCTCCTCCTCCTCCTCCTCCTCCTCCTCCTCCTCCTCCTCCACGTCCCCCTTCTTCTCCTCCTCGTCATCCTTCTCCTCCTCCTCCTCCTCCTCCTCCTCCTCCTCCTCCTCCTCCTCCTTCTGCCCCACCTCCGCCTCCGCCTCCTCCTCCTCCTCCTCCTCCTCCGGACGCGGCCGCGGACGCGGATCTGGAAGCGTCTGCCCTTGCAGCGCTAGACGCCATCGCGCCGAGGCGGCTTGCGGTCGTCCTGTACGCGGACGACCCCGTGCTACTGGCGTCCTCGCGTGGCGGAGCACAGAAGTCGCAGACAGTGATGGCGGAGTGGGCCTTTCGCCACAAGAACACCCCTCACACCAAATCCGCTAAACAGGCAGTCATGATCCATGGAGGTGAGCGCGCTCAAGCCGCAGGAGCAGCCGCCTCGCACGTCGCCCTCCCGCTGCGAGGCCTGCAACCCATCCAGCTCCACATGCCATCGTCGCACAAGTGGCTCGGTCTGCAATGGGACGGGGACCTCTCCCTGGAGCGCTTGCTGGGATCTGCTCAGTGCGTCACCTTGGCGGGTCAGGTTTCCAGCGGTCTCCTACCGCTGGCTGTGGCCGCCGGGATCTTCGAGTCCCAGGTTGATCTCGCTCCGCTTTGGCCGTTGGCTCTACGCCATCGCGGAAAGGGCCTCCTCCAGATTAGACAAGTGCTACGCAGCGTGGGCACGGGCCCTCTTCGACTGCCCGCAATGCAGACGAGCTGCCCCACGCTTCACAGAGCTGGGCTGGACGCTTTCGGGCACGGGGCGCGCGGTCCTGGATGTAGCCTCGAGGCGGGCGGGCTTATGGCGGCTGCCCGATAGCGACCTCTACAAGGCAGTCTTCGTACGAGCGCACCTTGCGCCGGGACGCACTTGGTCGAGAGCATCGCTGTCTCTGCTGGAGACCTGGGAGCTACCCGATTGGCCAGCCTGGGGCGGCCTCCTATCCAGGGTCCAGCCTGGAGGCCTACGAGGCCAGAGTGCGGGAGATCGTGGAAGAACGTTGTCGGAAGCAGCTCGTCCAAGATTCGGCCGAGCACGCGCGCCCGCTCCCCTACATCTATCTCCCTGGGGGCAGGGGTCCGGCGCGACCTGTCCCAGGCCTTACCGTTGGCACTGAGCTAGGGAGAGCTCCAAGGCCAGAGGGCGCTTGCACGCCTTCGCCTCCGCCTTACGCGTCTCACCCACATCGGGGGCGCACGATCGTGGGCGAGCCGCCAGCAACGCACATGCTGCGGCACCATCACCCACAGCCCCACCCTGCATACAGCTTAGAGCCTGCACGTCGACTGGCTCCCTCAGACGAGCCTTCTGGCAGGCGAGGGGGACGGACGCGCCAACCGACGGAGAGACCAGCGCCAGGACGGTCCTATCAGCGCGGCCGCGCGAGGCAGGGTATGCAGAGGCGGCTGCGCTGGCGGTCTTCCTCGGGCGGGAGGAGGCAGTCTTCTGGGCAGAGCCACGAGTCCCCGAAATCCTCCTTGCCTCTAGGGGTGAGCTCCACCCCCTCCGTACTCTTCGTCCCGCAGTTGCGCACTGCGTCGACACGAGGCGGCCGGGGGTACGGGCGGGGGTCCTTGTCAGAGCGGTCCCCTATAAGGGGCCACTCCCCAAGCCTTCCCCTCCTCTTCCCCCCTGCGATCGCCTCTCGGGGCAGGTACGGTTCCTCGTTGCGGGCAGGAGATCGGAGGAGGTCAGGAGCGGGCTGGGCAGCCACGCGCTGTCCGCTTGCCCTCCCCCTCCTTCCCCTCCCACGCAGGATCGAGCCGCCCTCTCCCTGGGTGGTCGCCGCGGAGCCGTCGCAGTCGCCTCCTCGGCCCTGCAACCATCTACCAAAGGACCCGAGCCCGCGGGCCCGACATACAATCCTCTTCGGGAGGACACCTGCCTGCCTTCCTACCTACCTACCTACCTACCTACCTACCTACCTCCCTCCCTGCCTGCCTGCCTGCCTGCCTGCCTGCCTGCCTGCCTGCCTACCTACCTACCTCCTCCTCTTTCTCCTCCTCCTCATCCTCCATCTCCTCCTCTTCCTCCTCCTCCTCCTCCTCCTCCTCCTCCTCCTCCTCCTCCTCCTCCTCCTCCTCCTCCTATCAGTGCTCCCACTCTGCGACCCAGCTGGCAGAGCGGGCCAGCATCCACTTGGCTTCGTTCGACCTGTCAACAGCGAACAACTCCACTGGACTGGGGACTCACGGCCTCCACGACCCCAGTGGCAGCCTCTGGCGACTGCTCCGCATTCCCAGGAGCTCAGAACCCTCCAAAGCCCATAAAAAAACATCAAGTATGGAGGTCGAGCTTCCACTTTAGACGCTTTGCGACCTTCGGGGACTCGCGCGACGCCGCTCCTGCGCCACCTCCTCTTCTTCCTCCTCCTCCTCCTCCTCCTCCTCCCCTCCTCCTCTCCCTCCTCCTCCTCTGCCTCCTTCCTCCTCCTCCTCCTCCTCCTCCTCCTCCTCCTCCTCTCCTCCCCTCCTCCTCCTCCTCCTCCTCCTCCTCCTCCTCCTCCTCATCCTCCTCGTCCTCCTCATCCTCCTCCTCCCCTCCTCCTCCTCCTCCTCCTCCTCCTCCTCCTCCTCCTCCTCCTCCTCCTCCTCCTCCCTCCTCTCCCTCCTCCGCCCCTCCTCCCCCTCCTTCCTTCCTCTCCTCCTCCTCCTCCTCCCTCCTCCTCCGCCCCCTACTCCACTTCTTCCTCCTCCTCCTCCTTCTCCTCCTCGTCGTCTCCTCTTCCTCCTTCGCCTCCTCCTCCTCATCATCATCATCCCCCCGCCTCCGCCTCCGCCTCCTCCTCCGCCTCTCCTCCTCCTCCTCCTCCTCCCCCTCCTCCTCCTCCTCCTCTTCCTCCTCCTCCTCCTCCTCCTTCGCCTCCTCCTCCTCCACCTCCTCCGATCAGTGCTCCCACGCTGCGACCCAGCTGGCAGCGCGGGCCAGCATCCAGCTGCCTTCGCTCGACCCGCCAGCAGCGAACAACCACACCCTCGACGCTGTTCCTGCCCACTCGGACGCTCTGTCGCCGACGCCGCAGACACGCACGGCAGGAGACGGACGGGGCGCGCGCACCGCGCGCGCAAAGGGGCAACGGGGCGCCCTCGCCTCGGGCGCCGCGCTCGCGCTCCCCGGGAGTGTGGGGCTCCCGCTCCCTGCGCGGCGCAGAGCGTTCGCTCCCCAGCCCGTCGGCGCGCGCGCGGGCGAAGATGCCGCTCCCGCCTCGTCTATGGGGGGCTACATGCGAGCCCTACCCCCCCCAACACACGACTTCTGAGGAAGGGGGGGAGGGGCTCTCCCTTCGCTCGGGGGGGGCGCTCCCGAGCGACGTGAGCGAACCCCACCCTCCCCCCTCCCCCTCGCGGCGACGAGAGGGTTCGCATGTGTGGCCCCCTCTCGTCGCCGCGCAAGGCTCGCCCGCGAATGGCGCACTCCGCCGCGGCGCGGCGCACATCCTCTCCCGCAGAGTCCGTCTAGGGCGGGGCCGCAAGCTGGCAGGGGTTTCTGTCGCCCTCGCGTGCGCTCCGCGCGGCTCCCGCGTGGGCACGGCGCATGGCTCGCTCGCCGAAGCCCAGCTGGACAGGAGAGGGAGGAGGATTTGTTCCTCGGAGGCCCACGAGGCAGAACAGAGCAAGCCCGCCCTAACCCGATCGACGGGAGGCGGCTGCAGCTGTTTCCCGCGCTCGTACGCGGGCCGCTAGCGCCTCCATGCCAGGGGTCGACACGAGGCGCGAGCGGGAGGCAGTCGGCTTACCGCTCTGTGCGGTCGCTGCCTCAAGAATAACCTCGGCCGAACGGCGGCAGGGGTCCGTTACACGATTATCATTGTAATAGTGCGGATGGGGGCCCTGCTTGACACGAAACAGGGTCTGAGCACCGCTCTTACCCCGCTTCCCACAACAACGCTCGGCCAGCAACACACACCTCTTCGACGCGTAGGCACCACACCTATAGCAAAACACTATGGGTTCTTGGTCCTCGTTGTCAATCATGGCACAAGTTAGGAGGTGTCCCCGCGGCTCGGCATCCTTGAGATTACGAAGCGCCGTGGGGACACCCTTACATCATACCATCGATCTCCCCTGATCAAAAGAGATCGAACAAAAACACTGCGCGCACCTCCACGCCACCCCAGGGTCAATCTCGCGCCAGTCGTGCCAGCTCGGATCTCTGAAAGCGGCGGCCTGAAAGCCTCTCGGCACGCGACGGAACTCCATCTTGGGGTAGCAGGAGAGTACGGCATCAAACATTTTACTGATTCCTTCACACGCTTCACATACACAAAAGGGGAGGAGGAGGAGGAGGAGGAGGAGAAGGAGGAG